CGTGTACATGTGGTAGTTTTGCAAATGGCGTCCAACCGTAAGAAACTATTCCTTTGAGCGGATTCCCTCCCAATTAGGCGTCAGAATCGGGACCACTTTCTCCATTCGCGCGCTATGAAGTTCGATCTCCTTACTCTTACTTCGTGGTCGCCTGTGTACACAGTTGGAAAACACCTCTTGGTTTTGGTACAATCGCATATTCAAAATACACTTCCTATAGATCCGTTCCTACAAAAAAAATTTCGAACCGCAAGTGACAGTAAAAACCAAAGACGCGCGTTTCGCGTCACTGATTTTGAAAAAACTCTTCGCGTTGTGTCAGTCTCGTGCGAGTTACCGATGTGAGGGACCGAATCTTTTTTTTCCAGATCCGAGATGCCTCTGATAGTGATAACTGGCATGCCGTCCAGCGGCAAGACCGCGAGGAGTCTCGAGCTAAAATCTTACTTCGAAGAAAGACTGAAAAGTGTCGGACAGAGCGTGAAAATAATCAGCGAACTCGACGCGATAACCAAAGCGGGCTACGATAAAAACACGTTTTACGAAGGTTAGAATTAAACAAAAAAAAAAAAAAAAAAAAAAATTCAAAATATTCGAAAAACGTTAGGAGCCAAATTCCAGGTGTGTTTATTCGCACAAAAAATGTTTCTTTTTTTTTTTTAGACTCGAAGAAAGAGAAGGCAGTCAGAAGCGATTTGAAGTCGAACATTCATCGCGGACTCGACCCGCGCGATCTCTTGATATTCGACGGCAGCAATTACATCAAAGGTTACAGATACGAGATCTATTGTATGACCAAATTGTGCAAGACTCCTCAGTGCACGGTGTACTGCGACATGCCGGTCGAGCACGCTTGGTTGTGGAACGACAAACGAGCGGAGCCCGAACGCTATAACAGAAAAATCTTTGATGAACTTGTAGCGAGGTACTTTAAAAATCTATCACGTACTTTAATCTATTTAACACGGTTTTTTTTTTGACAGAAGAGAGAAAACAAACTGCAAATCTAACCCGTGATGTTATTTTCTTTATATATAAACGTTCAAACATTTAAACTCCTAACAGGTATGAGACACCAAATAGCAAAAATCGATGGGACGCTCCGCTGTTCGCGGTATCGCCGGAAGATACATTGATGTATGACGAGATTTACAATTCGCTCTATGAGGTCAAATTGCCGAAACCAAATAAAAGCACTCAAAACGTCAGTATCTTTCTCATCACATCTTTTGAAACCGAGTTAATAAATTTTTTTTTTTTTTGTTTTTTACACACATCGTCACATATTCAATGTTTCACTTATTCTTTTAGGCACCGTTAGCGTCTACGGATTACTTGTACATGTTGGATAAAATAACTCTGGATGTGACAAATGTAAGTAGAGTCGCTACAATTAATCTAATTACAGGTAACATCGATGAAAAAAAAAAAAAATACTAAATCAGTGCGTATATGTATATATATACATATATATATATACATATTAAAATACAGGGTCTTGCTCTCGCTCTTGTCTTTAAAATTTCTGTACATACTCCGTCCGTTCAAGACCTGTAATGTGTACGTGTGTCTAATATCAATAGTTTACATAATACTTCGTCAGTCCGTACAATATATAGGCACTAATGTATGACAAAAATATTTTGTTTTCTTTTCTTCATATCACAAAAGGCAATATTGATAGCAAGAAATAAGGAAGTAAGATACCAAGTCGAGAAGATACCAATCGATATACCAGGATCTAACACGACCGTACAGACTACGTGCACAGCGGCGCAACTTCAGGTATTACGCAGACGGTTTTTGATCTACAGTAAAAAGCAACAAATCGAAATCGATAAGATCGCCACGTTATTTGTACACTATCTCAATTCGTACCCGTAATATAGAAAAATTGTACTTAATTTTGTAAAAATTTCTATGTGTCACTGTTTTATATAAATGTGTTGTATATACACACATATGTATGTATATATAGATATATAACATTGGCTATACAATTGTACAACAAGATTCACGCTTATTTAAATTTTTTTTTCCCCCCGAGTTTGGCAAAAATGTATGCACCACACAAATTGCAAATACAGAACAATCCCCTCTCTTTACACTGTAACGAGATAATTTCCATAATATAATTATTACAACGCATCGTTGCGCAGCTATTTTGTGCATTTTTTTTCTTTTTGTTTTCTTCTTTCGTCCTCGCAAAGACTCATAACGCATGTGTCTTTTCTGTGATGCATACGTTAGAAAAAATATAGAATATATAAAGGACGCAGGAAATTTATCTAAATCAGATGTTGTCTTAATTCACAGTGCACTGAATCGAGCGAATATATAAATTTTTTATGTCTACAACTTTCGTAACAATATCACGGAAAACTTGCTATATATAGTACAAAATGAATGTCTCTCTCGAACGAATCCGACGACGAAAATCGTCAGTGAGAATTAAAGTCACGTGGATGAACCGAAAATAAGTCAATACGTAGTCGCAACGAGGTTGCTTTGCGATAATTAAAAAACAAAAATCGAGCGTGCTCTTTATACCTAACAATTTTCATTCAAAGTCTTCCCCTTTTCGCCAACAAAAACTGGGTTTTATTTAATTCTCTTGTTCTTGCGCACCGTTACTCTGATTTTTGTGATTTGTGTCCGCAGGTGGTTTTCGACAAACAAAATATACACTATTGTATTCACACTGCAACATGCTCTTGATATTTTGGGCGTAACGAGTTTTCACTTGCACCTTCTCATTCTGTAAACAAACGCGTCACACACCTGTGAATATTCTAAATATATGTCGCGCGCACGCGAAAATAGAAAACGTTATTACCTCTAGTTGAAAGCCAAAGCCGAGAATAACTTGGCGAATAACTTCGTAACTCGGTTCGATCGATTCCTCATTTGGTAAGTCGCTGAAGTGATAAAGCAAGGGTCCAAGATTTATCCAGACGCCACCTGGCTTTAGAATCTTATAAATGGCCTCAATGAATTGAACAACATTATTAGCACAGTCTATGAAGAAACAAGTCGCGACGCAGTCCCAAATATTGCTTTCCGTGTAAACCTAAAAAAAAAAAAAAAAACAACGTATTGAAGTTCACCTGATTACTAAACAATTTATTAAAAACTTTTATAACGATAAAAAATATTGTATATAATATTGTAATTGGTATGGGACAGTTGGTATCACCTCTAAAAAATCACCCGCGGTCATCGAGAATTGGGCCGTCCCTGGAAGATCGCTTGGACTTACATCTGGGAAGGAAACTGCCTGAGTTTGATGATCAGCTTTCAGATTGTTCATGTACTGATGTACCCACGGATGTACTTGATATAAATTTACTTCTCTACATCTGTTTTAAACAAAAATCAAGTGGATTACAATTAAATTTGCAATATTACAGCACGTGTATGAATTTCGTCGAAAACTCACTTATTTAATACAAAATTTGATGCAAATAACATAAACAGAGAAAATTCGTTTCCTTGACAAGTGTATCCGCACTTTGCTATCTCAAAGGCAAGTCGACCCAATCCCGCGCCAGGTACTAAAATACGCACGTCCGACGGTGTACTGGAAATTTAGCTCTTCGATATTTGTTCACAATCATAATTTAATACAAACTTACAAAGGAAGTTTTCTGGAGAGAGCACTTTTTTTTTTTTTTTAAGATTTCAACTGCAATTTTCTCAGAGATTTGTCCAGTTTGTCAGGTAAACTTTCGTTGAAAAATTTGTAGCTTATAATCTCTGAGACATTTCGCAAGTGTTACTTCCTTTGTTTTAACAAATTTATAATAATTTTAATAATTACAAGAGATAATTGCAAATTGACATACCAGTGTTCCAGTGGAAATTGACTTAATATTTCATCTATAATTGGTTGATAGCAAGCATTTCGTTCCTCAATTCCTTCCGTGCTCCAATCTCGAGCCAATTGTTTAATAGTCGCCTGTACCTTTTCCTGATCTGCCATTATAGGTCGTGGGGTTATTACCTGTGAAATTTACATTTTACATGCTTACACACACTAGTAAAAGACAGTTTTCATTATTCTCTTACACTGTCTACTTGTGCAGTGGTTGGACAAACATTTTCAAATATATTGCCAGCATCTTTTATTATAAGCTTGATTATTTGATCATTATTTTCTATGCATCGCTTCACCTCTTGCAGATGCTCTCTGTATTTTGATAAAAGTTTCTGATGATGAGATGGCAGACTAAAAAGATAAGATTCTGTTTTTTTTACCCTTTGAAGAGAATGTGGCCTGCGCAGACAAGAATACAAAAAACAAGTAAATAAAACAAAACTTCATGAATATCTTGAATCACTGCTATATATCATAAATTTACATGTAAAATTAAAGAGCAGCGACTAGTTTTTGCAGTTTTTACGAATTAAAGCACGACTTCTGCAAGTTTAAATAATAGAGTACAAGCTCAAGATCTTGTAACGAGCACAATCGGTAGAGACGCTGAAATCGCACGTCTATGATTCTCTGTGAAATTGTGTTGGGACTTTGTGAAAAACATTTCCTTTTGTTCAAACCGGTCGTCACCGGTCGAGAATAAAAAGAACGGAGAGATACTCTCGGCAAAGAGGATGGGCATCTCTCTACGACCTATTTTCAATACTCACTTGTAATATCTAAACGCGTGAATGATTCTCTGAAAATGTTTCCGTTCCTCCTCGTCCTCGTAACTGTTGTGAACCTTCTTCGGATACATCGCCGACTCTACCATTTCCATCTTTACGTCCCTTGCGCTTTACGTGCGGCACGCGCGGCTCTCGTGTGTTTTGTAACGAGTGTCTCTCTGCGCGCGTGTATACAACACATGCAGCAGCAGTCGTCAGTACAGTCGGTTCTCACGGTAGCGACCGCTTCTATTTGCACCTTCTACACTTGTTAAATTTGTACTGCGAATAGAAGAAGACGAAATGAGAGAATAGACTCAAGTTCAATTTGCACACATGCACGCATACTTATATATATATATACACACACACACACACACACACACACGCACAGAGGAGACAGTCGTCGTTTTGACCACCTCCTTTTGTGTATCTCTTTGTGCATTTGCACATGACAAAATAAACACAAGCGGTGCGCCCTTCAAAATTTACTGCCCGTACTGAAAATCTATAATACACATCACGCGAACTATAGATCTTCACTTACACTTGCTGGCAATAAATCTTGAAACCCCGACCATGTGATATTTACGCTGTAGAGAGAAAGAGGGGAGAAACAAAAAGAGAGAAAAAAGAGACAAAGAGATGCATAGATTGTGAGAATCTTTGCGTAGATAATATAATAAAACATAGGATACAATGTTATATGTCACAGAGTTACTAGATTTTTCGAGTCGCTCGTTTTATTTCTGGAATTTCGTACAATTCGCAAACTTGGAGACGGGAGAATTCCCCGGGAGATCCGCTTCCTCGGGGCTGCGTTCGAAAATGTCACCCGAGTAGCGCTCGCGTTTCGTCGCGTCTTGTGTTCTCGTCCCCTGCTGGTGTTGTCCGCTGTGGGAAAACCAACAACCAGCAGCTGAGCAGCGGCTTCGCGCGTACGCCGCGCGAGGTCTCCCCCGCGGAAGTCTTTTTTGCCTCTGATGACGCCGCAAACGCTTCGCAGCGCCGCTCCGTTCTCGTTTCCACATTCGACGAGTAACCGAGACGGAACGACGCTTCGAAGCGTTCGCAGCGCTGCCTCGACCGTTTGAGATCAATTCGGGGAACTTGTCTTCGGGGCGAGCGAGAAATTTGTGCGGGTTTTGCCGCCGAGGTCAGGAGAGGTGCGCTGAGGTGCGCGGTTCGAGGTTCATGGGCGTGTTCTATTCCGTGCTACGCCGCCGCCGCTGCCGCCGCCGCCGCCGCCGTCGCGGTTCGTTCCCCGGAGTGTTGGCGCAAGGAAGGCGCGAGAATTAGGCGCAATTGCAGTGATTCGGCTGGCGCGAGATTTCGCGGACGTGATCCGCGTCCGTGGTTTGGGATTACGATGTAAAAGGTGACGACGGAAACGGGAGGAAGAATTCTCGCGCGTTATTCCGAGTTGTTTGTTCCGAGAGAGGGTTGGTGGAGACCCAGAGAGACAGAAAGAACGGAAACTTCTCCCTCGCGCGTCGAGAAGAAGTCGACGTTAGTATATATATATATACCTTTTGACGTGACGACTGGGTGATTTCTTGTCTTTTCGCGTCGTTGTGACAACAATTCGCGAGCAGATATGTCGAGCTTGCCGCAAATGTCCAGCGGGCTCAGCAAGCTGAAAAAGAAACACTTTCGGGTGAAACATCAGAAGGTTAAGCTATTCCGTGCGAACGAGCCGCTACTCAGCGTGTTTATGTGGGGTGTTAATCACACGGTAAGATCTCTCTCTCTCTCTCGTCTTTTCGCTGTGTGTGTTATATGTTGATGCGTGTAGCGTTTAACGCTCACCGACCACAGATTGTAATTTACGCATTAATTATGCATCACTGACGTCATGCCAATTTTCTCTATTTCTCTATTTGCGAGTTCATTCATTATTAATGACAAATCGTGGCGTCGTATTTACGAAAAAAGACAACATTCGAATTGGATCACAATCTTACGTGTGTGTGTGTGTGTGTGTTTGTATGTCCGCATAATTGTTCGAAATTACATATAAAACGCTTTATTTTGCTAATTACGTCTTTTCTCTGATTTAGTTCACAGTTTTACCGCGTTATATGTAACTTGGCAAGGCGCTCATTTGATATTTTGAAACCACTGTTGCCTGTTCTTCTTCCTGCTATTTTTGATTTTTGACAGTGAATTATTTTCGATGATTTTATAAATTTTGAATTTTAAACTTTTTGTTTTCGAATTTTCGAATCGATTGAATGAAACTTTCTCGATCCTGTGCGAAATTAAGATCAATCTGTTGTGCTTATATATTTTGTGTTTACTGCATTGCAGATAAACGAACTTAGTCACGTTAACATTCCAGTAATGCTCTTGCCAGATGATTTTAGAGCTCACAGCAAGTTGAGGGTGGACAATCATCTTTTCAACAAGTAAGTTTTACACGTTCGTACAATGTGTTAATTCAGATTTTTGTTTTCTGCTGCTTTTGTGCATCTTCGCACATTTTTGACTAACTACTCCAAAACTGTGTGTTTTGCGCTGTTTTCTAAATATAGATGAGAGAAACACTTGTATATACATGTAAGACAATCTCAAAAATATGTTCAAGCAATGTATTGTCTATTCTATATATGCAATGTTCTTTTCTAAGCTAATAGATTGGCAGCTCTCAATTTTAGATACAGCTAATAAAAATACAATGTTACATGGATGATGTTACACGATGATGTTAACTCGTGTGTAAAATCTGTTTTTTTTTCTTTGCAGAGAGAACATGCCGTCTCACTTTAAAATCAAAGAATATTGCCCGTTAGTCTTTAGGAATTTGCGAGAAAGATTTGGAATAGATGATTTGGATTACAAGGAGTCGATGACGAGGTAAACAATTCTGTGCTCCGTATTTAGTTATTTTTTCAGATACACAATATCTTATGTAGCACTGATTTATACGTTGCCACTTATTAAAAAAAAAAAAAAAAAATTAAAGGGCCAATATTCTTTTCACACTTGATATTGTGACCATGTGCAAGTGGTTCAGAGATGTATGCAGAGAGTATTGATTGGTTTGTAGTAACATAAGAATTTTAATGTGGTAGATGTCGGGTGTTTAATCCCTCGCGATCAAAGCAGAGCTCGGATTTGATTGGAGTAGGTGGAAGAACTCGTCAGAACTTGGTCCAGCGTTCCGCTACCACCCCATCGGTCACCCTTTCCTCCTCTCCTATTTCCTCGCACAATTCAATTCTAAATAAACCACTGCGTTTCAAACGGCTGAGGTTAGAGAAACTTGATTTTCGATGTGACTTTTAATAACGCTAACCATGTAGCTGGAGAGTCTTCTGGAAAATGAGAATCACAGTGTGACTAAGCGCAATAATCCCTCGATAAGATTGATTAATGATTCGAGCATTTTTGCTTTAAAAAAAAAAAAAAAAAAAAAAAAAAAAAAAAATTTTTTTTTAGTTTTTGATGTACTTTACCAAATGAAAAAAATTATTGTTGACAGCTTTTTCGAAGTNATAAGATTGATTAATGATTCGAGCATTTTTGCTTTTTTTAAAAAAAAAAAAAAAAAAAAAAAAAAAAAACAGTTTTTAGTTTTTGAAATACTTTACCAAGTGAAAAAAATTATTGTTGACAGCTTTTTCGAAGTGTGACCGATAATATAGTTCGGGTGAATTGTCATTTATATATTAAAATATCGCCTAATCAGATTAACAAGTCAAATGCTTCTCGTCGTCCACAGCGACATCTCAACAATTGTAACAACAATCATTCTCTCCAATAATCACAGTAATAAAAACACAAACGTTGGTCGAAAGAAGGCTGTAAGGAATCAAAACGCTGGTGCTGGCGCGCGACTTATGTGTGTTTATTAATCCGAGTAAAAAAAATCCTAAAACAAATAGAAAGAAAGAAATTTGACCGAGTCCTCTTCAGAGTGTGTCATAAATAACGCAAGTTGTGCCAGTGACAATTCAAATTTCAGATATTAATCACAATAATTGTGGTTTTAATCAGATCAGATTTCATTAGCTGTTCCGTTTAGAGTGTTTCGGTTAGAGTGTTTGTCAAGTTATATTTGTTTTCTTTTCTTGATGACACAGTGAGTCGTCATTTTTATATTTATCTATCAGCATCACGGCTCTCATCGCCCTGTATCACGTCATTATTTAATTCATATACTCGAGTTGCGAAGCGTCGTTCGATTCCCTCATACAAACATCCTCTCTCGGTGTGTGGTTTGCCGCATTTTCTCAATCTTCCAGATCGCAACCGGTGCTGGACGACTCGTCCGGGAAGAGCGGCGCGAAGTTTTACCAGTCGTACGACAAGCTGTTCATAATTAAAACTCTCACGAGCGAGGAAGTGGAGAGGATGCACTCGTTCCTAAAGCAATACCATCCCGTAAGTGCGTGAGTCGGTGAAGCGTCTCGGAAAAAACTTTGCTATTTTTCACGAATGTTTCGCATTGCAGTACATCGTCGAGCGACACGGCAAGACATTGTTGCCGCAGTACTTGGGAATGTATCGGCTGACCGTCGACGGGGTCGAGCATTACGTGGTCGCCATACGAAACGTATTCTCGAATCACCTGACGACACACAAGAAGTTCGATCTGAAGGGTTCGACGGTGGATCGAGAAGCGTCGGACAAGGAGAAGGAAAAGGATCTTCCGACTTACAAGGATAACGATTTCGTTAAGGAGGGCATGAAAATTTACATCGGGGAGGAAGCCAAAGCGAAACTGCTAGAAACGTTAACCGCTGACGTAGATGTAAGTATTGTTTGAAAAGCAACCGGCAGATTGTTGTGTGATTAGGTTTTTTCTCAAGAGCTATTTATCAGAGATAAGACACGGTCGAGATTTACAAAGGAATTTACACGATCGAATAACTTCAGATAACTGTCTATCTCTGTTAGTTCTTGACGAGATTGCATCTGATGGATTATTCCCTGTTGCTCGGCGTGCACGATTGCGCGCGAGCTGAACAGGAGAACAGAGAGCGCGCGGAGAGGGGAGACGACGACGAGAATCACGACGACGAGGACGACAGCGAGTCCGGCAGCGGACTGGAGTCGCGAAATCCGCTCGGAGAGTAAGCGTTTCTTCTCTATCTTTTTTTTTTCTCGTGAAATAAAAAAAAATAAAAAACAAGTTGCGTTTATTTTTAATCGACTTGTTTGTTTTGCAGTCGCCTGTGGGGTTGGAGCGGCGTCGGTCATGCGATCACCAGCATGGCAACGCCTCCCGAGTCACCGCACGCCGCGTTGATGCGTGATACCAGTTTACAATACGAAGACGCAATAATACCCGAATTAGATATCTACGCTATTCCTAGTAAAGAAGGTAGATCTTCTCTCAAATAAATATCAAACGTTCGTTAGTTCACAAATGCAAAAAAAACAAATGCTCACTGTCGTTATTTTGTCTCTCTCCCAGGTGCTCCCACGAAGGAAATTTATTTTTTGGCCATAATAGACGTGCTGACGCATTACGGCGTGCGGAAGCAAGCGGCGAAAGCGGCCAAAACCGTCAAGTATGGTGCTAACGTCGACGGTATATCCACCTGTGATCCAGAACAATACGGCAAACGATTCATAGAATTTATGAGTAAAGCTATAGAGTAAAAAAAAATGCTAAGAAAAAAAAATCTCTGTGCATATATACAAAAAAAAAAAAAGAAAAAAAAAGAAAAAAAATATGAAGTTACGACGATATTAGCGCTTAAATGTGTATTGTCGGAATGAAATCGAGTTTATCGCAACCCGCACGAGGGAAGATTTATCCTGGAGATAAGATCGTCGCGATCTCCATTCGGTTTATATTTCTTGAAACTTTACCGACTTTCTTCTCGCTTTCCTTTCGCGATGCGAATCGAATGGAAATCGCAACAAATTGTTTCTTATTTCGTTGAACATTTCTTAAGACGATCTCCTCTTTTGATCTTTTTTTGTCGAAATTGTTTGTTATGTATTTCACGCAATATTCGCACACAAGAGTTTTTTTCTTTCATTACATTCGATTTGATTTGTTTCTCACCGTTAGTCGTTTAGTCGATCCATTCCAAGAGATCCTAACCGGAGTTTTTCTTTGATATTTCCCCTCCCCGTATCTTTCTCCAGGATCGGGAGCAGGTAATCCTGTAACGGAGCTAATAACATGATCGCGCGAACATTTTCACACACAGTGAAAACAAATGCCTCCTCTTTTCTCTATCTCTCGTTGTATCTTGTTTTTTTTTTGTTTTTTGTTCACACGTGTTCGAATTACCGATTGAACTGTGTAACGGAAAAATTGATCTTGGAGTACACGCAAGTTGAACACGCAAGACTAAATCGCACAAATGCTTGTTTACTCGTTTAGCAACGTTCACGTTTCACGTGAAAGTATTATTAACTCGATTTGGCAGACTGGCTATACAGAGCACATGTGAATTATATATATACATATATATACATACATATATATATGTATGTATAATTATAGAGATAAAAGACATCTAACCGACCGGTTATGTCGTTGCAATAAAAATTTTCAAATGCGCTTTACTGAGTACAGAACTGCCCGCGGATTTGCTTGATCATACAGGATGTAGCTTCAACGGCTCAAGCGAAGCTACGCAAATGTCCATTTTTTGAACGCCAATCACACACGGCGCGACACATCTCCCGTTTTGCGGTCCAAATTCAGTTTCATTGAATTAACCAACACCGAATATCACATTTTAATAATTGTTATGTACAATATGTATATCTTAAGACGACACTTAGTTTTAATTGAAACAATTTGTGAAGTAAGTCAATAATGTTAATAGATTGTTCGCAATATAACGCGTGTTAATTAAGTGCTTGGAACATAATTGAAGCTTCATCTCGCAAAAGGTCTGTTGTAATATTTCAAATCGAACGGTTGTTACACTCTCCTCACACACAGTTTCTAATTTCGCCAAAGGATACTTTGTATAAGATATGCTTTATGAGGTGTTCTTCCGGAAGAAATCAGGCACTGCGAACTCTTGCACACAATGATATCGTCCAGCAAAGATCTTGCACGAGTTCGGTGCACGAGTTTTTGTTTCATATATATATATATATATAAAATATTATTCGTAATTTTTTATAATTTAGAAATGTGCGGTTGAGGCGGACGAAATAGCGACTTGTATTGTATAAAAGAAGTATGTACACATTGTTGCTCGCGTACAACAAACACAATATGTTTAAAATTATCTAATAAAAACACTATATATATGTATATGTGTGTATATACATATATATATGTAAAATTTGTTAGCCAATCTCGTAATACAACACCTAATTAATGTAATAATTAACTAATGTATTTATCTAGTCTCAATGTGTTTGCTATAATTTTGTATGTACATTTTATCTCACTCTCTTGTGAATGTGCGCGCACGTCAGGACTGAAGGATGTGATAGACGAAAGGAGGAGGAAAGTACAGTAGCATCTTTGTTGCAAGATATATCGCGTTTACACGAAATTGATTTTTCTGCGCGTGTGACGGAGAATTATTATTATTATTATTATTTTTATATATACATATAATATATGTGTGTGTAAAAACAGCTACTTTTGTTTTTAACGAATCAAAATTTTCAATTTTCAAACGCAAGAGCGTTCTAGACTTTACGTCCATCCGTTAGTACATGACCTTACGTGTGGCAACGACGAATCCTTGTTCACACAAAATAAATTGAGATTCATAGCTATGTCAACCCGTTGTGCAGTTTTATTTTATTGGGTGTGCAAGAGATAAATTTGTGTTTCTCTTTTAATTTAGCTTGTACGTTTTCATTGTTTGCGCACTCAGCAAACGACGATCTTCTATTTGTGTGTGCAGAACTCGGAACAGATTTCTTTTTCGAGTTCCGGTGTGTATACATTAGGACACTCATGAATCACCGTTGAATACAGAACATTTTTTTATTTATTTACACCGAATTTCAAGATTATATTAATACGTGAGAAATAAAAAAATCGATACTCTTTCTTTCCCAAGGTAAATATATATAATTTATTTATTTTGAATAAAACGATTGATAATAAAATAATCACATATTCGCAATCGTCTTACGAAACTTTTAAGGCTGTCGGATGTTCGTTGCAGCTGCGTATCCGCTATAGCGACTTTGTTTAGATTTCTACTAAATGTATATATTTACACAAACGCGCATGTATTCTTACTTGGAATTTTTGTTTTCCGCTTTTTGTTTTGCCGCGACTAGAGATATCTGCTGTAAACGTTCTATGTCGTTGAACACAACCTGTGCTCCTCCTCCGCACGTTGGTAACACGTTAGCCTGCAAGTGTACAAAGTGACATGTATACGTGTGTACTTTTGTCTCTCTCTCTCTCTAAAGTGATGCTTGCCTTGTACAATTTGGTTTCGAGTTCGCCGTCCGTGTCTTGTTCTTGCGCGAGAAGACAGTATCTGGCGGATTTGTTCGTGAAGGGTTTCGGACTCGTTAGCTTTCGAACGGTTCGTTGATGATGCTGCGTTTGTGGCTGCATGATTGTGCCGATTGGAATCGTGCCGGGGGGACGATGATCTATCCACTTCTCCGCGCAGTGCGATCGATATCTCGGATTCGCTATCGCGATCTACACAGACATGTTAGATCGGCTTGTTCCAAACGAGTATAATATCAAATGAAGAAATGTATTGTAGATGAAAAAAAAAAAAAAAAAAAATTTGAATTTGTTTCTATTTTTTGTACACGTATATACTTGACCTTTTCAATCATATGCTTTGTGTCCGATTTTATTCTCGCATTAGTTGCAACATCGTCCGAGCAGAGCTTAGACGGCGATTGGGAATCGGTGACCGCGATTGGACGCGAATCCTCCGCAATGTCTGTTTTCGAACTCAAAGTTTCCGTGGAGAGCTTTTCCTTAGACGTCGATGGGATTGTTTCCTCCCGCGCAATTTTTGTTTCTTTATCATCGGAATCGCTTCTCGCGTTCATATTCGAAGTATGTCTCTCGGTAGTCTGAGGATCAACGGATGTTACGGAAGAATTTTCCACAAATTTTGCCAGTTTTTTAATAGTCTTTGCGTGTTTTTTTCTCGACGCCGCCGCTGATGCAGCAGACTTGTTATCAGCGGTGGGGGTCAATATTTGCTTCACCAATTGCAATTTGTTATCTTTCTTCTCGATGCAGCTCTACGGCAGAAGACGATTCGATTAAAGCTGTGTGTAGAAGTAGTTTCCTTCTTTCATATGTAATTTTTACTATTGGTTTTGATCGCGAAAGCTGAGAGAAGTGTACCTCCAACTGTTCTCGCTGAACGCGTAACTTGTTCTCGAATTCTTTGGCCACCTTGTCGGTTTCCTCTTGTATCTTGTCGCGGTATCTCTGCATTATCTTGTCTTTCTCCGTTGCGTGTTGCTTCAGCTGTCTGTCCCTAATTTTCAACTGCGCACAGAAAAATCGTACACATGAGAAAANAAAAAAAAAAAAAAAAAAAANNNTTAAACCGCGCAAACCCGTACTCACTTCTTCCTGCATATTCCTCACGGCGTCGCACGCGCTGTTCAACTTGTACAGTAAACAATCGATGTTGTTTTGCAACTTACAAACACGACCTTCCAGCACAGAGATCTGAGAACATCGATCGCAAAACAAATTACACGGCGAGAAAATGCATGTGTCGTTACGGACACACACACACACACGCACACACCGTCCTGTGTGTATTTTACATTTCAACGCGAATCACAAACGTTATTACCGTCTTTTTTTGTTCGTCGTTGCAATGCTTCAAGGATTCATTCTCGCGTATCATCTCCACCAATATGTTTCGGAAATTATTTTCTGCAAAACGAAGCGTTTTGTGTCAATCTCGAGAGAACGCAAATGCTGATTACAAAAAAAAAAAAAAAAAACGCAATTTTTCGCACCTTTATCCTCGATGTCTTTCCGCAACAGATCCCTCGTGTGAACACGGTTCTCCAAACATCGCATCAACATTTCGAGTTCATCCTCCGAATCGGTTACTTGCGTTATATCGGGAAGATAAGGTTCATTCAAACTGCAAGCGAGACGTGAGAGAAACATGTAAACAATAAAAATCCATGTGTTAACGACGTTGTATCAATTTATGTACACATAATATAAATAAAGATGCAAATTAAAAAACAATATAAACCGAGTGTACTAACGTGGCCATGTTATCCCGGGGAGAGATGTACACCGTACGCAATCGTGACGATTTCGCGAAGTATTTTAACGCGCGAGCACACAAGACGATTTAACACAACAACAACAATGATGTTGTAACAGATCTGTTGGGGAAACATTCGTCGCTCATCAGCTACTGTGCGGCATTTGAAATTTAGCGCACGTCGCGCTGATCGCAAAAACATTTGTCGCGCAATCAAATGTCGCACATCCGTTGATAATTATCGTCGGTCAGTAACACGACGGGGGCTCGAATCGCGATTATCGACCGCCGTGTCAGGCGGAGGTGGCAGGCGCCATAATCGCGGTGTGGTCACCAAGTGGTCACCCGAGGTGCCGCGGAGTCGTAGCTAAATTCGAGAAGGAATTGGATTGTCGAAAAAAAAAACCTGTGTCAGCTGTTCTGTTTCGACGGGAAGCACGAAAATGGCATGTTCCGCTATAAGGTCACCGGTTCTTCGCAGCCCTACGGTATATTTCGAATTTTGTGTCAATTTTCTTGCCGAGACACCACGCACGCCATTAGACTCTCATCCGTAACGGTGTTATGTAAATTGTTGGATCGCGATGTAACCTTGCAGCTTTTTGTTCAAACGATTTCACAATTGCGATAGAAAACAATTGTGAACACATTCTGTCGAGACAAATTAAAAACCTCGATTTGCGGCAGATCGTGTGGTTCGCGACTGTATGTCCGTGACTCTGCTTTTACCTGTCATTCGAGTAGAGAAAGTCTTTGATAAAATTGTAAAACATACAACGGTGTTAGGAAATTTTTGGATATATTTTGCATCAATTGATGTATTATTGTAAAATCTACTAAAAAAATATCTACTTTATATTATCTTCATATTATCTTAGGTGAGACATTACGCAGCTGCTGCAGTAGCTCAATGCTCGACTGCGGCTCCTGAACTTCAAGTGTCGTCAAGCAACAAGGTGACCGTTGTTGCTGTTGACAACAACAGTCCTGTTGCACAAGTATCAATTGCCTTTAGGTATGACAATTATAGGAAGTAACAGTAATTGTATAAGTGTGTGCTATACTATTTTATACATAATTTTGTATTTCCAGAGCTGGTTCACGCAATGAAACCTATGACACACAAGGTACAGCACATCATCTTCGTATTGCCGCTGGTCTAACTACCTCCAGGTCAACTACCTTCGGTATAACTAGAAATATTCAACAATTAGGTGGAAACTTAACTGCCACCACCGATCGTGAGAGCATTGCTTACACATTACAAGTAACAAGAAACAACTTGTAAGGAGTATCATCATTTAAGAAACTTCGCTAATCTCTAAATGTACAAATGACAATTCTCACAATTGATATTCCTGTACTTTATAACAGAGATCAAGCTTTGACCTTCCTGGAAGATGTTGCCACCCAGCAAGTGTTCAAACCATGGGAAATTTCAGATCAACTACCCAGGTTGCGTTACGAGTTGTCCATGATACCTGAAACAACCCGCGTATTGGAGTTACTACACAAGGCAGCCTATCGCACAGGACTAGGCTACTCCCTGTATTCGCCAAAGAGACAACTTGGAAGAATAAATACAGAAACTGTACGTACGTAATGACACAAGGAGTAGCATTGGACAGAGAGACAAATTCGCTCTCTTTATCTTCAGTTGCAACATTTCGTCAACACCTGGTTCACCGGTTCCAAGTGCGCAGTCGTGGCAACTGGCGTCTCGCTAGCGGATCTTTCCAAATTTGCCTCGAATCTGAACGTAAGTTCCGAGGATGTCGCTGCGCAAGCTGCCAAGTATCACGGAGGAGAACTTCGTAAGGAACGATTCTCCGACTTGGCTACTGTGGCGGTAGCCGTTGAAGCTCCGGGTTTGGACAAGGAGAAGGACGCGCTTGCCTGCGCTGTGCTGCAGAGAGCGGCCGGTACTGGGCCGCGTGTAAAATGGGGAACGAGCGTGTCTCCGCTTCAGAGAGATGCCTCCGGCGCGGCAAGCGCCGATCAATTCGCCATCTCGGCATTCAATGCCTCTTACTCCGATTCCGGATTGTTCGGTTTCGTGTTGTCCTCAGTACCCAGTGTCGCCGGTTCTGTAGGTTTTACCGAAGCTTCTCAGAGATGAAGTACATTGCGTATATCTCTCTTTTACGTATTTCCATCTAACAAAGTTTATGTTCCAGGTAACAAAAGCCGCCACCGCGTATCTGAGATCGCCGAAACTTTCCGACGCCGACGTTGCTCGTGGCAAGGCCGTGTTGAAAGCAGAGATATTATACGGGTCGGATAACGACGCCGCGAATCTGGAGAACATTAAACAGCAAGCGCTTCTGAAAGGACGCGTGTACAAACCGTCCGATCTTGTGGCGCAAATAGACAAAGTAACCGCGTCCGACGTCAAATCGGTGTGTGCGATTTTTCAGGATTTTCTTTCTTCAAAGATAACAAGCGACATACAACAAAACGTTTTCATCGATGTTTTTTTTTTCAGGTTGCCGGAAAATTCAGTAGCGGAAAATTGTCGTTGGCCGCGATCGGCGATTTGTGTACCGTCCCGTACGCCGACGAATTGAAGTAGAGATATATTGAGAAAATTCAGCGAACTCGCTTATATGAAACTTTGAATTTCTGAATCTTCTGTTCCGTAAGATTTGGAAATGTGTGTAATTGTCAGTGTAGAGTTATCTACTTGCGATATTAATAAAAGAACAACGTCGCAGTAGTTTTGTATAGTTAAATATATCTCTGACTCACGTATTTTATTTATATTTATAAAACGAAAACAGTACACAACATTGTTTTTGTATAAAAAAGTACAACACAACGTCTCTTCACCGATCTATGTGACGACGAAGGACCGCTTGTTTCTTCATCTTGATTTATCCTATTATAATCTAATAAAGTTTTATTTCTTCTATAGAATAAAATTTGTTGTATATTGTGGAGGAAGATCGCAAGGGTTTTCCGTTGCCGATCCGATCTATTATAGGCCTCAGATTTTCGAGATTTTGCAGAAACTTGAACTGCAAAGAATCCATTAAAATACACAAAAGACCAATATTATACGTAATTAAAATTTTATGTTTTTAAACTTACGTGATCTTCCAAGACCGAATTCAGCTGATCGAACAGCTTCGACACTTGCGCGTCTCGAGACAACAGATAATGTTGATAGTGAGAATCGAGAAGCACGCAGATCCAGTCGTAGATCTTGCATTCGTTTAGATCATTGTCGAACGAATCCGTTTCCTCGTTCAATTTGCACATTAAATACTCCAACAGTTTCAGTACCTGGTCGAAAGTCAATGTAGTTTTCAAGTGAGGTAATAGAGAAACACTGGAATATCTGATATCGAATAATTTGTCAAGAAAACAATCAGCGTTCGATGAGTTGGCATCGCTCGTGCCGTTTTGCATGTGAACCTTGTCCGGATTCTTCAACGCAAACACCAAAAGGTCCACCAGTAACTTTTCCGACAGATCTCTGAACGTGTTGAGACACCAACAGATCGACACGACGTCGCCTGTTTCCATCAGGCGCGGGATAAGCGCTTCGTGTATCGCCGAGTCGCACCAACCCTCGTTCAAGTAACTCTGAACCGATTTGCGAATGTTCGAAGGTATGTCACTCATCGAAGGGTTCTTCGCGAACGTTTCCTTCTCGTCCCAATGAGCCACCGTCGCTTCCTGTATCACGACAATATCGTCCGTGTCGTGATTGTCGTTTCTAAAGTGCAGAGACGAGCCCACCATAGCGGCTATTCGTTGTGGCGCGAGATGAAAGGGTGCGACGGCCAAGTGTCTGTTTGCCGCGAGCAACAATTTGTCCTCCACCTTCCAGATTTTCGCGTCGTTCGTGTACAGCTTCAGCTTTTGCGCCGCCTGCACCAACTTGAATTGTACGTTGTATATCATCAGCACCGCTCCTTCGTCCGCTACATCCGCTCCGTAAACCGCTATGGTTGTTTCGTCCAAGTGAGTCATGACCACGGGATATTTCGTATTGATATTGGTAATTACGCTGATTAATCTGCTAGACTCCGAGTAGGAAGACGCTCCCGTTAAAAAGTGACTGTACAATCTACCGTGCGACCCTGAAACAGACAAATGACAGTTCGATATTTCTTTTCTGTGTGAAAAAAAAAAAAAAATTGCTCGATGATTCAATTTCCACATACACAGAGTCAACAGATAAGCGTTGTTCTTGTTGTGTACCACCACATGTCCCACAAGATCTTCCGATCTCCTCTTCAATTCTATCCGTCTGACAGTTTCCATCATCTCCAAGCAAGTGTCATCTTCCAGTCTGACCACGAGACAATTGTAGACCTCCTCTATCTTCGTCAGGCAGAACAAGCTCGTTTGACCGTTCAGATGTATCAACTTGCATTCCGACAGTTTTTCCTTGGCTTTGATAATACCGTTGCTCGTCCATGTCTTTCTGTTCGCGATTGCCCACTCCAGAGAGGCTGTGGCTCCGTTTTGTTGCACCACAACGGGAGACGCGTCGTCTTGCGGCAGAATAGCGTAAAGCGGAGACTGAAACTTGTATCCCTTCACATTGCTCAAATCGGTCTCGTTCTCCGACCAGACTCGTATCTTTTTCTCATTGAAGGCGGCGACGTAACGCTGCTTGGATCTGTCGTAGATGACTTGCGTCGTCAGTCTCTCTTTGCTGGACCAACTGCTGTTCTGTTTCTGATCCTGCAGCTGGAAACACACGTGGCGAATTTATTTAAAATGCGCGACGAAGAGCGATTTTCGGATTTTTGATCTAAATGAAAAAATCTAATCTAACCTTGTAACGTATCACTATGTTTCTGCCGAGTGTTACTATTGCACAACCTTGTTCCTTGTCCTTTTCGACGCCCAGTAAACTCTGCTGCTCGATGAGCGGACACAGCGTGTAGTACGAACTGAGCGACGCCATTCTCGAATCATATAAGCAAATTTATAAATAAAATTTCTTCCCTTTGATATATTCACCAATTGTTTACATACAGAGAAGAGAAGCGCTCTCTCCACATCCACGTGCGCTCTCTCCACGAGTGTTCCTCCAGCCCAGTCTTACCATCTCCGATTTCGGCTAATCGGACGATTTAACGCGTCAACCAATTGATTGGTCGATTAGAATGGAATAACCGGTCGGATTGAAAAGATCGCTAGGGAATAACGCGTGGTCAAGCAATGGCCAATCAACGACTAGTTTTCGCTTTGGTGTTGGACGACGAGTGGATCTTTCTCGTCACACGCCGCCCCCCACTTCGGGTGAGAAAATTTGATTGACTTGACTGTTGCCGCGCGGCGAGCATTGCTTTTGGCGGTTGTTGTCGCTGTGTTGTTTTGTGTTGTCCTGCATGTTATCTCTCCTGTTTGATCCTGTGTGCAAAGAGCGTATATGTGTTTATGTGCAATACTGTTTTTTACACGTGAATATAAAAAATGTAAGTATCGTCACAGAGTATTGTTTTATTGCGCAAAATTAAGATTTATGTTACACCAAAAAAAAAACAAAGTTTCTTTGAAGAAAGAGAACAATTCTGTTTACTAATACCTGTACTTCTGTTATGTTGTAGGAGGAAGAGTACGTCTGGATCGTCGGTAAGTTTTTATTTTAATTTAGAAAATTGTTACTCTTCAGTTTTTTGATATAAACAATTAACGTTTAATGTTTTTCAAGACGCTTCGGTCTACAAGATCTTCTCGATAAACACTCTTCTCTTGCCGAAACGTGTTTGTGACTGTTTCTATTGTATAATCTGTATCTTGTATATTTTTGAATTCGCATAATTTCTAAGAAAATCTTAGTTTTTTTGTTCTGTTAAATGTTTTCTGTGTTAATAATTCGCACAATATTTGTAACTTAAAGATTTAATTTTTAATGTTCACAGATATTAAAGCCACAAAAACCACGACAGCCGTTGCAAGTTGTGAATTTTGATTCTTCACCTGATGAAAACAATCCACCAACAAAACTTAAGAGACGCGTTAGCTTCGCAGAGAAGAAACATGTCAAGTCAGTATATGATGCATTTATTACAATGATATAATATCAATTTAAAAAAAAAATACATTTCTTACAAGATATTTTTTTATATGCAGAGAGTTTTGTCACACCACTGAACAAGGAACTGTGTGGGACAGCACGTATGAAGAGCATGACTGTAGTTCTAAAGGATCTTTGGATCAGAATTTTGCGGAAGAATCGATCAAGAAATTGGAATATATTTCTACATCTACAAAAAATATTGCTGTTGAAAGTAATGTAAATTGCTCAAATAATTCCTGTTTAGAAAATAATGGACCGAGCGAGCCCGTCATGAGAACGAACGAGGAAAATGATATGACCATTGATATGGACTGTACCAGTCCGGTCATTCGTACAAAACTTCTCGATAATTGTTCTCAGATTGAAAATATTCCACTTCTTGCATCTAGTACTCTATCTAATGACAATGAAGCGCATAACGTTACAGATGAGATGTCTCAACAGGAAATATATACATCATCGAGTGCGCGTGCTACATCAGATGTATCTAAAAACGCAGTATCAAGCAATATTTTTGTATACAGAGACCCCGATGAAGAGGATTGTGTAAGTAATCGTGCTAACAAGACGTGTCTTCAGAATGATTCCATGGAGCTTACCACAGCGATACCAGTATCTTTAATGGTTTTACGTACAGAAGAGCAGAATATTATACAGAATGATGATAAAATGCACTCAAACGATTCACATACAAACTGCACTACTAATTTCAATAATGTATCGATGGAAATTACTCAAGCTGTACCAACATTTAAACCATTTATCAACTGTGATTCGAACATTTTCGAACACTCGAATAAAAAAGTTTCCGAAACTCCAATAAAAAAAGCAAAAACCTGTGAAAGTGCAACGTACAATGTCGGAAACAATAATGTCCACAATGACGCGATATTTGGAACAGAATCGCGAACAACTTACATCAACGATTCAATGGTGTTAACAACCGTAATACCTACAAACGCCGATTTAATTTGTACAAATGATCCAAATTTAAATATGTCCATGGACATTACCACTGCTGTATCGGGCAAGATTCTCGGAGGAACCGCTCCGCATCTCTGTAGTGAGAGTACGGTTGCGGGAAGAGATCAAATTGAGAGAACCAACTATTTTACTGATGTACCAATGGATATGACAGAGCCTGTAAATACGTTGTCTTCGAATGTTTGCGACAAAGAGAATCTGAGATCGCACGGAGCAATATCTTCAAACGACAGAACCATGTTTTTCCATAACGTGTCCATGGAAATAACTAAACCTGTATTATCAAGAAATTATCAAGAAGTAAGCGCTAATCCAATTACTCGCAAATTAACACGCGGAGATAATGTACAAGGAGAAGAAGTTGCCGGCAATTCAACTTGCTGGAATAAAGATACGAGATTCTTGAACGAACCTATGGAACTTACCGAAGTTGTTCCGAATGTTTTGTACAATGAAAGAACCCTCGACGCTACTCGCGCTCCGTTAGTTTCTGATACAATGCAAAAAAATACGCCGTTTCCTGCAAAACATATTGCGCACCCAATCGATTATGTACCTCCAAACAAGGTGCTAATTCAAAGTGCTTCGCACCACTCGACAGATGACGCTACATCAAACAAATTGGAAAATTTAATCATTCCCGAGAACAAGTGTCTAGTGACAATTGATAGGATACAGTCTCCAGAGGCATCGCCAACAGTTCAAAGTACAATTCCGGATCTCACGAAATCGACATGTCACATTAATACAGACGCAAGCCAAATTCAGGATGTGTCAATGGAAATTACTGCTCCACTTCCGGTAACTTCGCACCTTACACGAGATGTCACGCTAAATGAAGTAGAAGATGAAAATAAAAGATTGCAACAGTCAATGACGAAAAATCCAGCGAGAGAGAGCGTAACGCAAGAGGATCAAGTTTTAATGGAAACTATTTCACAACAAACAAAAACCACGCACAACAAATCCTCCAACATTTCCATCGTCGCATCAGACAATTCAGATCGCTCTGACAAAAATTCGTGTGAAACAAACGATGACAATTCGGTGGAATTTCAATATTTCCAAGAAAATAACGCGCGCGAAGCTTCGATAGCCGATGACAATCAGCGTTTCGTGGATACAGCAGATCGTGCAAAAACCAATCTCAAGGATAGTCTGAACGGAAGCAACGAGTGTAGTTTTCTGAGAAAAAGTCTGCCTTATCTGGAAAATAGCGATCTGCAATCAATCAATCCGCCATCCTTGATGAACAGCGAGGAAGAAACTTCTTTTCCCGACGCATCAGTCAATCATCATCGATTTCAAGCGTCGACGAGCGACAGTCAAGTGAACAACAAGCACGAGAGTTCTGAACAATTAGTGACGAATGAAACAACAGTATCCGAACATCCGACAGAGTCGAGGAAAAGTGTGGCGAAAGATAACGAAAGTTTTGCAGTTTTAAGAGATAAAAAAGAATCAGCAAATGTCGAAAACGGTGAAACAAAAGATCGTCACGGAAACGTCGAGGAAACAAGTAAAATTGAAGATAATGAAGTTAATATCCGAACAATTGCGAAGGCAAATTTTATCGACAGTCAGTGCGGAGAGTCGACTTTGGATACAACGGATGTACAGAATAAACAAATCTCCATCTCGCCGATTAATGTAACAAAAGATAATGTAAAATCGCAAGGGAGCATGGAACACGTACAAGACCGTGTTGAAGAAAACCTTCCTGCGGAAAAATCTGTTGTCACTCCTGCGAAAGAAAAGCCTTTGACCGAAGAAGATCACTTTTTATTGTTATCTCAGAAGTTAGAAACACACGGTGAAAGGTACACGTATACAATTTCTTTCTTACTTTGACGTATCAATGTGAAGATTGATATAGGAGGAACAACAATATTTTAATTTCATTAATTTGCAGAGACGATTGCATTTGGAACGTGTTTCGCAAAAACGTCGACAAAAAATTTATCGCATTCGGTTTCATGGCGAATTCGTTACTGATTGTCGCAGTTTTGTTCGGCAATCTCACGCGTTTCGAGAACAATCATCCGCACAAGAGAATCAAGATTATTTCTCGTCTCACAGGTGAGTGGACGTGCGTAGAGACACGATGAGTCGAAAAAATAAACGATTTTATTAACAACCTCGCGTCTCATCTTTTATGTAACAGATAAAGCAGACGTGTTAATAAGGATAGTTCATAAATTACTTCTGCGGAAAGTAGACGTGGAAATGCTCGAGCGTCACGAGAACATTTTTTCGATGCTCGACTTCATGTCTCAGGAAGTTAAATTGGCGATGGATTTCATGTTCGACCTGAGACGTTTGAATGACTCGAACATGATGGAGATAGCTTGCGACAAGTAACAGTTTATTTCTGTTTCTGAAAAAAAATATGCGTGCGCGCGCGTGTGCGTGTGTGTGTGTGTGAGTGAGTGTGCGTGAGCGTGTTGGCTTCTGACTATTTTAAATATCGGTACACGCGCTGTTGATAACTCAATTAATATGATAATTATATTTTATTCAGAATCTCGTTTGTGTCTCTCAGCAAACACGTGAACATTATATTGAGGATCACGATTGAAGTTAAAGTCTTTGACGAACTCACTCCGAATGACATAAACGTTCATTGCGTACTAGGTGCAGTAAGGTGAGTACAAGTTTTTTAAATACTTTTGTGCGTGCGTGCGTGCGCGCGCGCGCGCGCGTAACTGGATATACGGTAAGACGGTCTGTGCTTTACAGAGAAACGGAAGTCAAAAACTTGATGAAGAATATAAAAAAGGACAGTAAGTTTCTAAGGAGGTACATGAACGATGTCCAGAATTACATCGACATAATGGAAAATGTTTAGAATTAAAAAAAACAAAAAAAAAAAAGGGTGATTGAGAGATCTGTTTTATATTTTTATATCGTGTACACACTGTAAGTTGTAGAAGTAAGTAATATATTTTTAGCCACGTATGTGAAGTATTTTCTCTGAGAAGTTTAATAAAAAAAAAAAAACACGTTATTTATTTTTTATTTTACTTTTCAAGTATCCGAGTTAAAAAAAAAAAAAAAAAATGCACGTTACCCGAGTATTCACCCGCGAATTTGTGATAAAGATCGAGTATCTCCGCGTAATTCATTCATTTCTATATTGTAAACAGCTCTCCAAGCGTTTCTTAAAGAAATCGAAGTTTCTTTTACACACACACACACACACACATCACGGCTACGCGCCGGTTTCTCGTTCCAGCGTGGGCGTAGAAGGCCCGGTTTTACGCGATTTCGTAACGACCGCGACGGACCGATTTCCAGTATTAAAAAACATTTCACGAGGATCCCGAAGACCTTCGAAACCTCCTACTACGTTCGCCATTGTCTCTCTCTCTCTCTCTCGCGCTCTCTCTCTTTCTTTCTCTCATACGCATGAAAATATCACGTATATTCCATTCAGTGGATATTTTTCGAGAATCATTCAGTGTTGCTCGTCAATAAATAATGTGAATGGGATGACGCGTCATTTTTCTTAAAGAGCGAGAGATGCAAAGTAGCAAGTTGCACAGTAATTTCGTTTTATTATTACAGAAAATTGAAAACTTTTCAATTGTTTTCTACGAATTTTTTTTTTTTTTTTTATAAGATGCACTTTGTGAGATTAAAACGTTTAAAAGTTCGTACACAAAATATTTCAAAATCGTCACATCTATTCTCTGTGAAAAATGTTTAAATCAAAAAAACAAAAATTATTTGCTTCTAGAACGTAATTGTTCTAGAAAAAAAAAAAAACAAAAACAAATTTTCTCTCTTCAACAGTCGAATCGTGAATATCCCTGCCGTTATCGTCTTCGTTGTTCTCGCGATCGTCGTGATGTCAACCACGACGATACCTGCTCCAGCTTCAGCTTAGAGCCGGTGCGGAGAACGCGGGCTGTTGCAAGTGGGCGTAAAGACTCGGAGAGAGAACGTCGTCTCGTGTTCCATACATGGCTATACTATGTGGAAACACACGGTGAGACACATAGAAAGGCGGACAGACAAACGGACAGAGAGTCCCCACCGTGTGGACACGGTGGAGGCGACGTTTCCTCGTCTCTGTCGAAACGATCGCCGAGTATGCTCTCTTAGTGTCTCGCAGCATATACTTGTCGTGTGACCGTCCGCGTCGTCCTGATCGTCGTCCGGGGCGCGCTCGTGCAATCGCGCGATTCCTCTTGGGGGAGAATAAAAAAAAAAAACAAAAAACAAAAAACAATACGCGGCGTTTGTTTTCCGCGCGTCGCTCGCTCGAGACCGAACGAGCGATCACGTTTCGTATGACTTACCGTATATGTATATATATACCGTCGTCTTGCGTACATGTGCAACACAGATAAATTGTCTCAGGTGATCGAACGCAGTTAAATTGTTTGTTGAAATTCACTTTCTTTCGACAAAAAATTTCTCCTCCCGATCAAAGAAAGATCCTCGCGCACACATGCGAGATCATGCGGCGATACTGTAAGAGATAAGTTATCACCCATCTCTCCTCCTCTCGCGAAGAGAAGTGTTCTTCAAAAAAATTTCACCGTGAGACGTGGGAGACAAACGGTTGAGAAGAATTTCAAGAGAAAGAACGGAAAGAGAGAGATATGGTAGAGTACAAGATTATATTCGAATTTGAAGACCGCTTTCTACGTATGTAGGACGAATCGCACGATGCGGACACTTCACTGGTGTGGGTGCTACTGGATTCCTCCTCCGCTTTGAGCCCGAGGTCAGGTGTGGGAGGGTGCAAGGGTTGAGGAAACGCTCGAAATTGACGCACACATCGCACATTGTAGGTACGTATTGTTTTCCCAGTTTAATGTTTGAACGCGGAATATTTCTAATCAAATAAAATCTTTCTCGAGGACCCGAAAAAATTCTCAAAAGTTTATTTAGTTTTATGTCTCATAGAAATGTATTCTCTCTGAAATTTATTATTCGCGAGATGAAAATTTTTTAAGTGAAATAATTTTCTTTATTTATTCGGATATTTTTATTCTGAGATTCTGAGGATTGCGAAAAAATAATTCATATTTGTTGTGACAAAAAATCCGAGCAATTTACAGCTTGTATGAAAATTCCGATAGAAACGAAGTAAAACTTTTGAGAATTTTTTTGGGTCAAACTCTAAAACAGACTTTTGTTATATAATATTGTATATATAATATAAATATTATTTAAAAAAAACTTACTTATATTTTTGACTACGTCACACGGACGATAGAAGTGTAACATTTTCGTCGCTCTTGTATATTTCAATAAAAAAATACAATCGTGTCGAAATTTACATTTCACGATACGAAGGGCGATCAAAGTCACTTTTTAGTCTCTCTGGCGAGCAGGCGCTTCTTGAATCTGTCGATCGCTTCTGTGCTCTCACGAGGATGTTTATACTCCAGTATCTCGTTCATGATCTCTGCCGGATTCAAGGGATTGAACTTGAGAGTGATTCTTCGTCGCAACGACAGCACCTTCTCCACGGCTTGCCGGATGAAATCCAGAGGAACTCCAACGGACATCTTGGCCAAGCAGGAGACCTCGATGTCACGATCGACGCCGTGGTACTTCATCAACAGATTCTTGTAATACATGTACAATGTGTTGTAGTCCGGAACGGGGACCATTATGAATTTACTGTAGAACCTGATAAAGGCGCCCTTTGCATTTTGCGGTTCCGCGGTAAGCGCGAGAAATAATATCTGTTGACGCATTGCTACATGTCAATAGAATTCGCAGCAGTGCGTGTTCAATTCGCATTATGTGCGCGCGATAAGAAGAAACGATGTGAGAAATTTTGAAGCGCGTACTTGATCGCCCGGTTTGATGGCTTTTGTCAGTTTGACGAAGGATTTGGCAAATCGCCTGGGTTGAAGATGTTGCTCGTCGGCCGGGACTTTCTTCAGCCAGGGTTTCTCGCCAGCTTCGAGAAAGATGATGGAAGGCGCGTACGCGCGAGCCACTTTGGAAATCATGTCCATGAGTCTTCGCTCTTCCCGTTTACCGACGTATTTGTCAAACAGAACAGAAACCGACACGTCGAAGAGCAACGCGCCGACCTCGGAAATTCATATTATTCATTTTATCCCGCATACTTACATCTCGTGTGATCGCTTTTGTAATCGATAATCAAACGGTAATAATAAATCACCTCGGTGCAAATAGCATTGGCGAGAAAAGTCTTTCCCGTTCCCGGCAAACCGCAAACGCAAACGGAACGTACGAGCGGCGCGATTTGATGCGTCTCCTTCGAAATTAAAGGCAGCACGCAGTATTCAGCGACGAGTTGCCTGACTTCGCCGAGCCGGTGCGTGTAATCTCGCGACTCGCGACGCGCCTCGTAATTCTGATAGGAGAGATCACCGTCCCAATCGCGAAGATAAACGGTCTCGTAGTTCCTGATGACATTAGATTCCACCAACTCGCTGAAGAGTTCCTCAACGGCCACGTCTTCTAGTTTTTCTTTCTTTTTTGGTCTGCGTTTCTTCTTGACAAAATCTACGTGTTGTTGGAATAACGAATTAGGTCTAAGTATTTTACAGAATACAAATACACGTGTTCTGTTAGTGATTTGAAAATCGGTAATCAGCGATTCGACTGCGTTTTCAAAAGAAATTTTAATCCGAGGTCGTGTCGCGAGGGAAGATAGAAAGGGAACAAGAACACGGGAATTAATGAACACAACGAGAGGACACAAATTATTGTTAATTCGTCGTTTTTCCGATAACCTTTCTCCACTTTTGGGATCACAAATTTCTTCTCGTCGTACTTGTGATCGTTCAGCAGCGCTTTGTTCAACAGATCCAGCTCGACTCTCATCAGCTCGTCCACTATCTCTCGAATTTCGAGCTGCAGCTCGTGGCAGAGCTTATCGGTTATCAGATCCAGATAGACTTCCCTTCTCAGATCCTTGCCCTCCTCGTCGCGAAGACTCCAGTCTCGAATGAAATCGGCGTTCGCCTCCTCCAAGCAGGACAGTGGTTCGCGCGACTTCTTCTGCCGATCGCGCTCGACAACAGGTAGTGGTGGTTTGGCTTTGGGAGCTTCCTGTCTGGCTTCTTTTGGTTTCTCCTTCGCCAGCGTTTCCATCAGATATTCTTCGGGCGTCACGGTCTGCCCGGTCGCGATCAACACGCTGCCACCGAATTCTGCCGCCGGATACACGCCGTAATGTCCCGTCGCGTCGTACCAGACGACGAACCACTCGTGAATCTCGTCGGTGATGTCCTCCATCAGTCCGGGTCCTCTGAGCTTCCATAGCTTTCCAGGAAAATTGCGCGCTTCGAATCAAACCCGTTCTCTCTCCCACGATATTCTATACATTTTTTGTTTTCAATTCGCAACATGTTTGTTTTTTACCCTCGTGCGCTCGTCGCTGAACGCGGCTTCAACGTGCGCGTCGTACGCGGGCATCAGGCCGCGTCGCCGTTCGAAATTCTGCTCGTCCTTCGCGAACGTTTCGCGATCCCGCCAGCTCGGTATCGTCATACCCAGAACTTCCTCGAGACGCGCGATTCGTTTTCTCGTGTTCTTCCTCGCTACGTAACGTCGCCACGCGCGTTGAATCGTCACCGCCGACTCGATGTATTTCGCGCGCTCCACTTTTCTCGGTGTTATTTCTCCGATCCTCACTTTGATGTTGTAATCGAACATCCGTTTAACTGCGCGGAACAGTTTATTTCGCTACAACAAATCCGCTTGTACTCTCGTGAAATTATTATTTATTTATTTATTTTTTTGACGTACCTTCCGCACCATCGCAGCGTCCCTTTCGAGCCCTCTCGTGACTCTGTATCAGTAAAATCGCGTCGAGCCGAGCTCTTTCGGCGGCGAGTTTCGCTTCCCGCGCGGCTGTTTCCTCCGGCGACTCGCGAATCGCCACCTCCGGGGGTGGTCGCACGCGCAATCTTCTTCGCAATCCGCGCGGCGTTCTCACCGTCTCGTCGTCTTCCACCTCGGTCGCGCTCTCGATGCGCATCGTCGAGACACTGCGTTCCCTTACCGGTACTACGAATGATTAAACAATTAACAATCCCCTATCTTTGTTGGTTTTGCGAGCTTCTCGCGCAAATTTTTCTCCGCCAATTTTCTTATCCAGTTGTGTTTTCCGGCGATTGTTCAGAAACATTTTGTTGTCAGTTTAAAAAAAAAAAAAATAAAAAAACATTGACACACCTCTCTGAGCACTTTCTATTAATTCCTGAACGAACTTTCTGCGTTCCTCCGCGCGTTCCCGGCCAACCGCTGGTATCAACAGTTCAATATCGTCCGGTGTGAATTTCATTTGATTCAAGATATCGTCGGGCCACCTTTAAATACAACATGATTCCTCGTTGTGTCCAATTGAGATCTAATTAAATCGCAGAAACGCACGTACTGATAGTCCGACAGTGTGCGATCCAGTCGGCCGATTAATTTCTTGTACTCTAACATCCGTCCGACGGCGCAGTCCAACACTTGTTTGACCAATTCCCGTTTCTGCGTCTGCACCATTTGATCGTAGCATATGACGAGTCTCCTCACGAGATTGCGATATCTATATATATATATATATATAGTTGACGTAACATATATCGTTAATTAATATGTTTTTTTTAATCAGTTATTTTGTATAATGTATTTTTTACAGAGCCTCTCACCTCACGTACAAAGATAAAGCCGAATCCAAAGCTTCGGCTCTTTTCGCTTTAGTTTTTTGCGCCGCTCGTTCGAGCTCGAGTAATTTTTCCAAATCGCTTCTCGTGACCAGCCACAAGTCGTTGTAATAAGAAAAAGACATTTCGAAAGAGAATTGTAATTTTTTGTATTCGAAAACTATTTTATTTGTTAATTTACGCTTGTTTTTTTTCTGTGATATTGTCAACGTCTCGAACGTCAAAAATTTGTCAATCTGCGGTTATCGCGGAGATGTGGCGTTATTAAAACTGAACTTGCACGTGTCGTAAATATCGAGATATTTTGTAACATAATTGATTTAGGAGGAGGAAAAAAATGTTTATACAATAAAGAAATATATAAACATATCTCTTTTTTCCAGGATGCCGAGACTATTTCGAGATTTGCTCGTTTTGGTGTTGTTAATAATGACGGCGTCGTGTTTCGACGCGACAGACGACGTCACGACAACTGCAGAAATGTTGCGGACAACAAGTACGTCGTTCGGTCCAACGACGATCGCTGTTGAGACAAACGTATCGTCGTCGACTTTACCGGCGAGGAACGAGAGCATTCCGGAAGTTGTGTCCTCATCGCCATCGCCGTCGACCTCACCGGCGAAGAACGAGAGCATTCCGGAAGTTGTGTCCTCATCGCCGTTGCCGTCGACTTTCTTTGACGCTGCTTGGGAGTGTCCGAACATCACTAAACCGGGCGTGGAGTGTTCATGTGATTTTCCACATACGCTCAGGTGTGCCGGCGATAGAACGGCGTTGCAGGTAAGTTTGCCACCATGTAGTTGTCGATGCGAACTAATAATAAATGTTTGAGAAAGAAGAGGAGGCGAAGAGATTATTCATTGTGTTTTCTTCTTAGTCGATCAGCAAGCACTTGAAGCACAGCCGACCGGACACGATATCGCTGCTGGACGTAACTGTGACGGGGATATCTCTGTTGCCGGCGCGGTTTCTCGAGAACGTCGCACTTCACGGTTTGGTTGTTTCAACCGGCGAACTGAAATACGTTCACGCGGACGCGTTCACCGCACTGGCGCGTCCGTTACAGGCGCTCGGATTGCCGAACAATCTCCTGGACTCGGTTCCCACCAGTGCGTTGTCGCATCTGGTCGGTCTGGATCGATTGGACCTGTCCCACAACAAATTGAAGACATTAGAAGCGGACTCGTTCAAGGTACGATTCAAAAGGCAACTCTGCGAGATTAACCCCTTCATTTTACACTTCTAATCGCACCCGGAACATTTCATTTCAGGGACTGTCAAACCTGACCCATTTGGACTTGTGTAATAATTTGCTGTCACAATTGTCGCCGCAAGCCTTTCTGGCTTTACCGGGATTGCGCTCGCTGAGAATGCGCGGCAATCGCTTGAGCGTGTCCGCTCTGTCCGCTTTGAGAGGTTTGAAACGATTGGAGGAGCTCGATTTGTCGAATAATCTGCTACTAGGCTCGATGAGTCCCAATCTGTTGCCGCAAATGCCTCGGCTCCACTTCCTCACCGTGTCGGAGAACAGTTTTGTTAACGTCAAGCAGGAAGCCCTCATGGGTCTCAAAAATCTTACTTATCTAAGTCTAAGTCATAATCAGGTAAATGCAATTACTTTCTTTTTTTTTTTTTTTTTTTTAATAAGAAATGGAGATAAATGTCAGTGTAATTCAATTTTCGCAGATCGACGTGGTGGAGGATCACTCATTCAAACATCTATCGAATCTGACGCAATTGGACTTAGCGAACAATCGTATCGTTGCCGTGTCCAGCGCCTCCCTGGCGCATCTTGACAAGTTGACGACCTTAGATCTAACGCACAACTTCTTGCGGACGTTGTCAGCTGACTTGGTGGTTCCGCTCAAGAGTTTGCAGGATTTACGTTTGGACGACAACGACATCACAATCGTGGCGAGCGACGTGCCGATGTCGAAGCTGCATCTCAAGCGACTCTCCCTCGCCGATAATCCGTTAAATTGCGATTGCACTCTGCTCGAGTTCGCCAACTGGCTGGCGAACTCCAGTCTAATGGAGGAGGATAAATCGTCGGCGGTCTGCGCGACGCCTCCCGCTCTGGAAAATGGCATTCTGACGCAGGTCCCGTCGGGTAGTTTGCTCTGCGGCGAGCCAACACCGTCCCTGGTGTCCCAACCATCTCTGGCAGGCGCGCAACTGAGTCTCAAAGAATTCCACTACGATCAGTCGACCGGCGTCAACCTGCTGTGGCACGTAGAACAATGCACCGAACGTTACACCTGCGATTCGCTCATCGTCTACGAGACGATCGGCGACAGCGAGGTTCAGACGGAGTCTAGTCCACTGCACTGCGACTCGCAAATGATGCGAGATCCCTGCACTTTGCCGGTCGCCGTATCCACCGCCTCTCTGCACCTGGAATTGGGTCACAAGTATCGTTACTGCGTAGTTCTGCTGATACCCACCGTTTACGACGACGTGTCTCTCGGTCTTGGCTGCAGCGATGTCATTGCTTTGAAGGAGACTCAACGACAAGATCCGTCGTATGTACCGGATGCGGATTCTCAGCTTCCGCACGAGACGTCCGCACAGGCGCCTATCGACGCCTACTCGCAGATTACCGGCGTCCACGTGAACGTTTCCGACAATGGTTATCTGCACGTTAACGTCATTCTGTCGGGAATGAAAGAAACGACCGTCGTGTCGTCGCCAACCGTGTGTCATCTGTCCGTCGTCGTGTTCGACGCGATTTCTACGATACATCGACAGAGACTCAACTGTAACAGCTCCACGTTCGTCACCGACGTGGAAGTGTCACTGCCGGGTTATTATAAAGTTTGTGCCAGTTTGAACGAACTCGACGACGGTGAACTCGTCGCGTCCAGCGAGCTGGCGAACGATCACGAGCGATCACGTTGCGTGGAAGTGGTCAAACAGGACAGATCCGGTGAACGGAACGCTGAGGTGTACATTGTGAGCGCCGTAATCGCCACAACGGGCGTTCTCGTTCTTCTCATCGTGCTCTGTAGAAATCTCGTCAAACGATTGCGCCATCCCAGAATACAAGCGCAATGTTTTCTGCCGACACAAGAGTTCGAGATCACTCACAAGGCCCATTACATCAAACTTTTGGCCACTACGAAGGTTTAACGACGTTGTCGTCCAAGTTGTTGGAAATTTGACATGAGATGTATACACATGGGATGTATATCCCGCGACTACATTTCCTTTTAAGCAGATTTTTTTTCGTCCCAGAATAAAGTTCTGGAAATCTGCTGTGTTGAAAGGCAGCAAGGTAGTTGCGGAACGTCCTGTAACACGTGTGTGTACATATCTCCAACACATTGGCCGGAAGAAAATGGTGTGGGAGAGGAATTCTTTTCGATGAGAAAGAATGGGTGTCGACTTTGTACATAGATATAATATTCTTTTTCTCAATATGTGGTCGGGTTTCTAACATTTCAAGCGAGCGTTCCGGTACTAGTACCATCGCCTAATATTTGGACGGAGTCAGACAGTTTTTTTTTTTTGTTTTTTTACAATACTAATGGCCAGTTTCATCATCTCCGATTAGGTTAATCGATTGATCAATCGTGACTGGGAATCGAACGGAATGACCGATCAATTTAATCGAAGATAATGAGCCTAAATGTTATCGAAAATTGAAAACAAGAAATGCTATTATTGTGTTGTGTATTTTTCTTTAAAAAGAAGACGAGCATTTTAATAAAAACGTACGATACTATAACAAATACAATGATAAAAATCTACTTAACATCAAGTAGCGAGAAACATTCCGGGGGAACATTTATACAAACAGATGTACAACAAGTGCGTTGTGTGTGTACGTTAAATTAAATTCTTTGTAATACAGAGAACACCTCTTCGTTTGTGTGTGCGCGCGCGCGTGTGTGTGTGTATGTGTGTATTTGTGTACATATAGCGATTTACACGTCGATAAAAAATTATATTTATCAAAATTTCATTTTCGCAAAACAAAAAAGGCACTTGGATCGAAGAATGATATACGCACAAATCGCCGGAGATAATATCGCATATATAAAACAATTAAAACAATAATTTTTTTATTTTATAACGCGCTATTGGTTTTTTTTTTTTTTTACATCAAGAAACTTTGCTTCCTCAAGCACAATAAAGAATCTGTTCTCGTGTTCGTGGTTCTGTGGTTCTGCCGCTAAAACTGCGTATATAATCTTAATACAATAAATATATATTTTTTTTCTTTGTGTGTAAACAGTTTTGCTATCCCTGCACGACCTTCCCTTCGAACTGGGACATAAGACTCTCTCTCTTTTTGTTTGTTTTTTTATTCAATTGGACTAGCATTTAATAGAGAATTATGTCAAGTGTGTTCAACATACATTCAATATGCAATCTGATCTCAATATATATATATGTATATATATATATATATATATATACATATATATATATATATACATATATATATATATATATATATATATATATAACGTACATACTAATTATTATTCTTCGTAAAACCTTGATGTGTGTAATACACTCGGTAGTAAAGTGTTTTACTTCGCCAAAGCGAGTAGGAATTGTCGAACTTCAAAAGATATACTCCCTGCAAGCAGAATAATATATAAACGCACATATACATATATATTTATTAATAATTAATTATACTTGGCGCAAATAAAAACACTAATTGTGCAGAAATTTTATCTCTTGCATCCTCACCTCGCCCGGATACTGATGACTTCCAGCATAAATTTCCTCTTGAGAGTCTCTCCTATATACCTTTGAACAATAAAAAATAAAATTGAAGTAATTGATATGTTAATTACGTTGTGTTTCAGATATGCGCTACAAGTCATATGTGCAATTCTCAGAGTCAGAAGTTAAAGTACCGGCAAACAAATACACACGGGATCGGAGATACCTACAGGTATTATAACGCTTATTGGTGGTGTGGTCTTTCTATGTTCGGGATTTCGAGGATTGCCGTTCACCGACCCGCTCTCCAGATCTCCTTGATTATCGTACTCCTCGTCTTCGTCGTCCTCGTCCTCCGATTCGCTTATGTGCACAGACACCTGATTCGTCGCCGGCTTGGACCACTCGAAATACACTCCAAAACCAATGTCGTAACCGTCCGTCGCGAACTCCCAAAACAGACACGTGCCGTGCTCGTGCGTGGGCACTCGCACGGTGACAATCTCACCGTGACCGACTTTGATCACAGCGTCGCCCGCCTCTCTTCTGATGATCTGCTTGAACTCTTCTACACCTTTTCTCGTCCACAGATCCGCGGGAGCGATGGGCGGCCAATCCTCCAGATCGTCGGAATCTTCATCGTTTATATTCTCATTCGAATCATTCGCATCGTTTTCATCATCCTTGTCATCGTCTTTGTCCTCATCTTTACACGTTGCTTGTTCGGGTTCGATGTCCTTGCAATCCTTGTCCTTCATCTGCTCCTCAATCACCAATTGGTTCTGATGCAATTGCTGCATATACTGGTGATAATGTTGTTCCTGCAGTTGCCTGATCAGAATAGCCTGCTGTTCCGGATTGCCGGGATATTGCTGTTCGGCGTACACTTTGAACTGATAATACGTTTGCTGATTCAGAGCGTCTTGAATCTGTCTCCTCTGGGTTTCCTCCTTCAGTCTTTCCTCCTCCTGCTTCTTTCTCTCTTCCTCCTGCTCCTTGAGTTTTCTCTCCTCCTCCAGCCTCATGATTTCTTCCTTCTTCTTAACTCGCTCTTTTTCCTCAAAGTCTCTCTTTTGCGCCTCGACCACAGTTCTGAACAACGGACACAGTTTGTCCAGCAATATTATAAAACCCTCCATTGCCTGTTCCTTGGATATATCTCCTAAATTTTGCCATGCCGAGCGTCTGTCTCTTCCAATCACATCGAAATCAAAAACATCCAATTGCGTAGCACTTTTACCCGTGTACTTGCCGTGCGTTACTTGCTGAGTAAACGCCACCAGTTTCAATTTGTCCTCGTAAGAAAGATGAACAGCCTTGCCTTCTTTCTCTAAATAAATTAAAATACCACTTCTTAATGCAATCTTATCAAGAAGTTTGTGTTATTCAAACACACATTTACTTCTTTCGATGTAAATTTATTATCAAATTTACATATTCATTACAATGACGTACCGTTTTTCGACAAGTAACAAACTTCTATTTGCGCTCAACTTTCTCATCTTCGAGCAAATAAAATCTTTAAGATGAAATTATCATACAATATACATGCAACTTGGCGTTTAAAGTTGTGTGTTTCTTAATACAAAAGATAGCGCGAAATCTTGACAAGTTACACGTAAACAAAAAAGTTTTCTCAAAACCTAACGCGCGCTCATGGGAATTTTAATACAATACAGTTCGCTATATCCGCGCAATGTGCCATAAAAATCAAGCTAATTAATCGTTATCGTAATAAAATAACGATAACGCTCGAGGAATCGCGCTGCGAGTGCTCACCTTTGTAGAAGTTGAGCGCGAGCTTGTAGAGCTCTCGCGTTTCAAAACCCCAGAGTCTGGGGGACGTCGCGCACGTTTTATCATTCGTTGTGTTATTGTCGGTGTCGCTTTTTTCCGCATTATCGTTTACCGCGGAGATGTTCAGCTTGTTAACGCGCTCGTCGAGACCGGACACGTCCTCGTCGCCAGCGGCCGCCATTTCTCCAACACGTAGTGCGCGTTCTCGACGTTTGACACGTCGATAATTGACACCAACACTGTGCACACCTAACCCTCGTCCGCTATCAGAGTGCCGCCACCGATTGCCAGCGAGAGTCGTGCGGGAATGACAGCAGAATGACAGGACGACAGGACGACGGTATCTTCTGAGAGCGGCCACGGCCCCGGTTTCGTCGTTATCGCTTTTCCGTCTTGTTCCCGCTAGAGCCACGGTGGTGCACGTTGGCAACTACGTAGTACGTGTTCACGACCAGTTTGTCGATAAATATTGTTATGTACGCGCACGTTTTTGGTTCTCTTCGGCGCTATGTTTACAACGTGTGGTTCTGTTAAGTGCCAATCTCGAGCTATGATCGTTCGAGTTTTGGTGAAAAGATCATATGGTCGGGAAAGGATTTGACACTTGATTGACAGTGACCGATACCGATCATGGAGAAGTGGGTGCACACGAGATTGTCCGATTTATTGGATTTTCCAATATCAGACGATATACCTCGGTAAGTTCGTAACGTAAAGAAATCATAAAAATTTTGTCTCACTATCTGTTGGTTACACGATGTTGTGAAAATGTTTTTTTTTCTTTTTTCAGTTATATTATGCAAATAGAAAATGACAGAGACTTGGAAGAGCATTTTGCATCCTTTCTCGATATAAAAAATCCAAAACACAAACAATTTATAACGGAATTTAAGAAGCAACGTGGTAAATGAACATAGATTTTTTTTCTACTTTCTAAATCGTCGTGTGTGTATAATAAATACAAGATTGCAATTAATTAAGATACCAATCGCACTATTTTGCAGCATTGCACAGCAATCAAGTTGGATATAAAAAAACAAACGACAACGACAATGCGATTCGCAACAAACAGTACGACAAGAAACAGAATGACAAGAAAAAGGGAAAGGGGAAAGAAAATGTTCAGGTAAACTTTCTTTTTTTTTTTTTTTTTCCCCTAAGATCATGTAGCAAATATAGTTACAAAATCAATTCAAAATGTTCACTGTGGATTTTTATTTTCTCTAGGCGCAAGAAAGTGCGAAGCCTGAAAAAGTAGAAAAGAAAAAACCCAAGTTTGTAAACGTGTCTCAAGGAAATGTACTTTTGAAAGGTATTTTGTAAAAAAAAACTAAATTTTTACAAAATAACACGCGTCAGCAATGCAATCTATACAAACAGTATACTGTATTTATTCCGGCAGGGAGACATAAGTGTAACTGTGAGGCGAAGGAGCACCAATTGGTTAACAATTGTCTTAATTGTGGGAGAATAGTCTGTCAACAAGAAGGAGCAGGACCGTGCTACTTCTGTAATGAACTTGTTTGTACGCCGGAGGAACAAGCGATTCTTCAGAGCAATTCTAAGAAAGCTGATCGTTTGTTCAAGAAATTGATGGAAAAAAAACCGAAAGGATATGAAGAATCTCTCAAACAGAGAGACAAGCTTCTGGAGTTCGACCGTAATAGGTGTGTGTGCGCGAGTATTTTTTTTTTTCACACGTTATTCAATATTACGTCACACATGTAATCACATTAGTGTAAACATAAAATTAACTTTCGTAGCGCTCGACGTACCAAAGTGATCGATGACGAGTCAGATTACTATCAATCAAGTAACATTTGGCTTTCAACCGGGGAGCGCGAAAAGTTGCAAAAACAAGAAGCAGACAGACACGCTGCCAAACATGCATCACGTTTAGATAGAAATATTAAAATAGATTTTATGGGAAGAACAATCGAAGAAACTCAGCTGTCATTTGATCAGTCTGACGACGTGGAATTAGAAGAACGTGATAGAATAATGTTATATGATGACTGTGAATTTCCGAATGTTTGTCCGACCATAGAATTTGACCGCCCGACGGTAAGATCATCAAGCTTTTTTTGCTTGTAATTTAATATCAGCGCGTCATTCCGCTTAAAAAGCTATCAATCCACCAGCCTTCTATTTCTTTACACGTGTATTTCTTGTGTTATTAAAGTTTGTCGAAATGGGAGTGTCTAGAACAAGTCAAGAAGTTGGAAATTATAAATGGTGCACAGAAGGTAAAGTTCAGGATAAAGAATATTTGGAGATGTCCGACCAAGGATTATGTTTGAGCATGCATCAGCCTTACGCGTCGTTGCTGGTAACGGGAATAAAAACGTGAGTGACGTGAATCTTGTAAGAGAATTGTTTTCTTTTGCGTCTCATCAAAGTAACAGTAAATACAAATTTTCAACATGTTAGCCACGAGGGTAGAAGTTGGTATTCCTCACATAGAGGAAGACTGTGGATAGCATCCGCTGCTAAAGTACCTTCCAGAGAAGAAATATCGAACATAGAGCATATCTATCGCATGTTGAAAAGCGGTTGGTAAAAAAAAGTGTTCACATTGAATTATTTGTAGTATGTATCTTCCTTCATATAGTTTATTTTGACAAATTTTTAGAAAGTATCAAGTTTCCCGAGACTTACCCTACAAGTTGCTTGCTGGGCTGCGTTACGGTGACCGATGTTTTATCTCAAGAGGAATACAGAAAATTATATCCGGATGGGGAAAACGACAGTCCGTATGTATTTATATGTGAGGATCCTTACATGTTGCCGATACATCTTCCCATGAAAGGGAAACACAAAATCTGTGAGTACTCGGAGTAGCATTAGCAATAATTGTTAACAATTGTAAATTGTTATTTATTTTCGATATTATTATTATTCGAGTTGAAGAATCTTTTTTTTCTTTTTGTCACAGATAAAATGGACAAGAAACTTCACCAAGCTGCCACTAAGTTGCTAGAAAAAACCATGAAAGAGCGATTTGATCAATAACTAAAAAATAATTAAAACTGTTTTAAAATGTTCTTCTCTCGTCAAATTCCAAATAAGTCTTTTTTGTTTTGCACACGTATGCGTTTAGGTTAATAATGTCAGTTTCCACGTTGTTAAAAATAATTCTTTGTTTTGTACAAAAGTTATGTTTTTCGGTTATACAACGCATCTCTAACAAACATTTTTCAATAAATAATACAATAAATATTATATTAACTTGTGTCTTGTATTCAACGTTTTCTATAGCCTACATTACATTCTATATTTCACACACTTGTTTCAGTATTGTGTACTTTAACATACTCTCTTGTGTTTATATACATATATATAAATATATATATATATATTTTTGCAATATATATATG